TATTAATATATAATTGTAATGAACAAACTCCACTACATGTAATTATAGTATCTATTAAATAAAGTACGCCAATTCGCGTTTAAAAAAAAAAAAAAAAAAAAATTAAATACAAAGTGTTCTGCTTTATAAATATATCTGTAGTAATGATTCCATAAAAATAGTTATATTCATCATTATTAAAAGCTTGTTCTGCAGTTCGCTTTCTATTATCTTTATTAATATGGTATGCATTTTCTAGTTATCTGATATTCTAAAGATAATTAATTTTGATATTACATACTTTTCTTTTAGCAATGTATATAAGATCCTTATTTCTTTTAATTGCATAATTAACACAACTAGTTAAATCTTCACCAGAGATATCTTTTTATAAGGATATATAAATTTTTTCTTCTTTGGTTTGTCTCTAAGCAATTACAAGAGATGTATATAGAATAAATAAAATAAATTCACAGTAGGTTGCCTTATTAGTATTAGTTATAGTTTTAATATTTGAGAAATAAATACTATGTTATTTATATAGTAGTTTAATATTTTATCATCATTATTGATTTTTTTCAAATACTGCATCAGAAAAAATAGGTTGATTAAAGAACAGCATACTAAGCTAGTATTTAAAGATATATATAAAGATTGAGTGATCTCTCTTCATACTAAATAATTTATGAATAAATAGATTGCCAAATCTGAAATTAGTTTTTTAAAAAATCTGCAAATTAAGTTTATTTATTTATTTTTTTTTGAACATATTGGCAGCCTTGCCAGTATCTTTATTAGATCAAAGCATATGCACAAGATACAATTTAAACTATCTAAGTTACAGATCTGACATCACTCGGCTGCCTCTAGGGGTGCTCAAGTGCGGTCTGCCTCACTGGTTAAGGCTATTGCCTGTACCAGAGAGCTATACCAAGCTAGCCTAAAAAACTATCACAAGATAGTTTCGAAACAAACGAATTTTCTACTATATTATGTTAGCAAATTTTTCTTTCTAAACTATCTACCTTTTTTGAACAATACTCTAACTCTAATTTTTTAAGAATAAACCAACAAATTTCCTCTTTCAAAACAGGGTTATTGCCAAAATTCTTTCGTTCATATTTATAGTTTTTTTTCCTTTTTCTCTTCTTTCAATTCAACCTGTCTCTTCCAAATTGAGACCCGAGTCTTGAGAGTCTTCTCTTATTCTTTCCTATACCTTTTTTTTCCTGATTTATAGCTTCGGCCTTTCTTTCTTCTTCTTCTTGAGGGCTTGATCTACCAGTTTCTTCCAAGAATATTCTTCTATATCTTCTTTTTTCTTCCTCTTTTTCTTTAAGTACCATAAGTCTTCTTTCTGTTTCTTCATTTCAATGTCTTGATCAGTCTGCTCAGGTTCTTTTTTTTTCCATATTCTGGATATGAGAGTCTTCTTTTTCTCTTTTTTAGGTCTTTCTATTTTCTTTTTCCTCCTGTAACTTGGTTTTCTTCCCAAGAATCTATTTTGTATTTCATTAAAGATCTTTCGGTTTCTGAGATATCCTACAAAGAGCTTTTCTAATATTCCTAATAATGTATCTTTCTTCTTCTTTTTCCAATTCTTGACACTTCTTGGTCTAGGTGTTATTGTGCTTTGAGATGGATTCGTATTCAAATTCTATTGGGACTTCTGTCCAAATATCCAATTTGCAAAAAGGTCCTTTTTTGTCTTTTTTCACATTTTTTTATTATGCTATGAATCATCTTTAATGCTAATTTGATATAATACTTTTATCAACCAATCTTCTGGGGTTGTTAAAATAATTTTAAATCTTGGTTCCTCTTGAATCTTATTTAGTGCTTTAGTCTCTACGAGACCAGAAATGTTTTGTCCTTTGCTTTTGTTTTGTTTTTCTTTTCTGATTTTTCTTCTTTTTCTTTTCTGGCATGCTAGGGTGAATTCGACAGATACTTTAAAATATATTAATAATATTCTTATATCTGAATTATTATTCTGCCTTTGTCAGATTTTTCTTTGTTCTTGAAGTCTCTTGCTTCAATCTAAATCCAACTTTGATTTTATTTCAGCAGCTTGTTTTTCTTTTTCTTTTCTTTCTTTCCTTGTTTCTTGTTGGTTTGTTGCTGTAATCTTGATTGATTCTTTGAACTGATATATTGTAGAATTTAGAGCTATTTTGTTGAGCTGTCTTTGTCGGCTTTTTCTTTGTTCTTGGAGTCTCTTGCACCAACCTAATTCTAATTTCGCCTTTAATTTAGCATATTGTTTTTCCCTTTCTACTAATAATCTTCTAACTCTCTCAGCAATTCTTAATTCTGCTATGTAGCCAATTATTTCTTCTATTATAATACAATAGATGGGGTCTTTTCTATCTTGAATTGCTTCGAGGAAAGTCTCATGTTCTCTTTCTATCAGTGCAAGTTCTGTATATTTTAATTTTTCTATATTATAGTACTATAACTCTTCATAG